CCCTGCTGCACCATATGCTGCTGCTGCTGCCGCTGCGGTGGTGTCCCCGGCAAACACAAGCCCAGCCAAGGCCCGGGGGCTGGGGGTGCTCCTCTAAGCCACTTGCTCTGCCGGAGAAAATAAGCTAAGGAGCTTACCACAGCATCAGTGCACGTGGCTGGGAGGAGTGACCTAGCGGCACCTTCTCCCTGGTGGGAGAGGCAGGAGTGTGAGGGGGACTCGGGAAAAGGGTCACTGCTCGCTCTTTGTCCAGAAGAAGACACTTCATGAAGCAGAAAAAAACAGTAAATCAAGAAACCCAGTAAATTAAGAAAATAAACACCAAAGGAGTGATGCCTGGAAGGTGATCCTGCAAGTAATTTTTCACTGCAGGCTCTCTGAAAATATCCTAATGTGTGGGTGTCTATTAAAAGCAAGCTGTGTCTGGGATTCAGAGCAAGGTATGAACTCATTCCAAGGACTAATTGCAGTTGTGCCACCCATTGGGAAAAAAATGCTGGAGTCTGGGTAAAAACAGCCTTCCAGGAAGCTCAGGCACCAGTAACCTTCCCAAGTGAAACAAAGGAGATTGAAGACATAAGGTATGAGGAGAACACACAAATACTTGCTGGAAGATTAAAAGGAAGACCTATATAATTAGACAGAGAGGGATACAGCCACGGATAACAGGACAAAATGAAGGCATGGCTAGTTGAGGAACGCTTTCCTATCTACGAAATTTGGTAGACCAAAATATTCAATAGAAACAGAGAAGAACAGAGAAAAATAAACAAAGCAACACACTGAGAATTCAGCATTCATGGGGGAAAAGCTGGACTGTCTGATAAACCTGTCCTGCATGCTGACAGAACATACTCTATTCACACATTTATGTTCGTAGATACTGCCCGGCACTTAGCAAGAGCAACCTCAGCCTCGTTTAAGATAATAGCAGCTTTGCCATTGGCTTCGATGAAGCTAGGAGTTCAAACACAGCCCAGAAAATTATTTCCTCGTTCCACAGCTGGGTTAATTAAAATGGAAGGAGACTGTGACCCTGAATTTTCTGGCTGCTTCTAGCTCCTGCTTACCTGCTATTGTTGCTGCTTTTCTGAAAGGTAACTTTGAAAAAGCCTCAAAATTGAGAAAGCCTCAAAACTGATAAATACTTTTCCCATTTTCTTGACTTATGATTGCTTTTTTGTTCTTGAAGTGCCTTTGGAAGTATTTTCCAGGCCAAAATACCTGAAAGAGCCCTTAAAAAACGGCAGATCTCCATCAGCAATGTCTTGCTGCTAGAGAAAATGATCAAGATTTGATTAATCAAGCATTTTGATTAATGAGGGACCAGTCTTTCATGTTATACTGCACCTCATTTTTCAAATCAACGTTATTATTTACTCGCTGGCTCAGCTGCACTACAATTTTCTTTGCAAATTCATATTTTGACAAATTATATGGCAATTTTTTTACACTGCAATTATTTTGTGAAACAGAGTTTTACTACTGAATATTCATAGATCTGTAAGAACATTGCTCACTCATGTACATAAATTACACATCTCCTCCACAATTTTGCCTTTCCCAAAATTATTATGCTTCCACAAGAATGTAGACAAGAGCTTGCTCTGTACCCCACAGCCCCGGGCAGAAGAAAGAAGCGTGGATGAAACAAGAAATATAAAGAGGGACATCCAAAAGTGCCTCTCAGGAGGCAAAGTGCATACCTTTGTACCAGAAAAGAAGAGACAGCAGGACGCTTCCCATCTTGAACCACATCTCTTCCTTCCTCGTTCTGGAATAGCTCCTTAGCATGCTGCTCGGCTTGCTGGGAAGGCATGAGATTAACTTAAGCATTGCCTAAGCACCTTACTATCCTCCATTCTCATGATTTTATCAAGCACCATCAAGCCAACCACACAATTATTGCTGTCAGGCTCCATCCTAGAGGATGTGTCGTGCGTAACAGTTTTTAAAAGGTAAAAAGCACCGAGGTACTGACACTCTGAGTGCAAATCTGATTGTGTATGCAGACATACATCCCGATAAATAAGATATACCTACCTAGAAACCATGTATACACCCCACAGAAATGCTTATAAAATATATGTAGTATATATTGTCTATTGTATGTAGTCATGGTCTTCCACCTATCTACCTCTTCACTATCAATGCCTTTCCTAATAATAGCTGTGTGTAGAAATCTGCCCTGGCCTTACTGCGCTTTCAGTCACCTAATTGCAAGGGGATGAAAACTGCAATTAGTAGATCAAACAGAAATAGCACATTTCCGTTGTTTGCTTGCTAAGCTGTAAAAATCTCAAACCAAAAAAGTAAACCTCCCTTTGCTAACAGTTCTACCTACAGTATCCTGTCAAACAGCTTACATCAAAGAGAGTTACACATCTGATTTTAAAATGACTGAAAGATTCAAGACAACAACAGGCTGCTAGTGAGTCCAGTGGATCTTGCACCCGTTCCTCCAACCTCTGTTAATTATGTGCAATTAGCAGTGAATTTTTAATGGAGGTTTTTGAAAGCAATTGCTTCAGAAGCAGCTCGCTTTGTTTCAAAAGATCTTGGATTGTAGGCACAGGGAATAGATTAAAGCACTTCACAGATCACACGGACTAATGTTGAATTAAGCTAGGCCTGTCTCTAGTCTTCTGGGCTACATCCATTCAAAACATGCTGCGCAAACAAGGTTGCTGACTTTTCAGAAACAGTCCTCTGGGCAGGATTCCTCTCACCTGCCTTTGGATACCCACAAATTTGGAACGGCCTGTGAATGGGATGTCAGCTAGGGCATCCCTCTGCAGCCGCACCTCCAGCTCTGACACGTCCCGGCCTCAGCGGGACGTGTGACGTGGATGGGACAAGTTTCTTGCCAAGGGGGCTCGCTGCTGTGCTCAGCCTCAAGCAGTTTAACCTCCTCAGTCCAACACTTTCCCACTTTAATCTACCCTCAGGGAGAGGAAGGTTATCACAGGCAGACCCCTGCATGGACACGGCCATCCTGCTTCATGGACCTGGGCCAGCTCACCCTAAACACTGGGGAGCATCAGTGCACGGCAGGGAGAGCAAGCAGGGTGGCTCGCCCCAGGCACCAGGGAGGGGGTCATTTTCCTAAGGGCAGGGGGCTGCTCCTAATATTTTCTCAGAGGCCACATGCTGATACACAGCACCCCTCTTGGGGCAGCGAGACCCACCAGAAGGCCCAGCCAGTGGGTGAACAAATGTGAGCCTCACTGAGAGTACCAGGGCAGCCTCCGGGTATCCGTCGCGGTGTGACATCTCGTTCCAGGCTCTACACAGTACCCGGGCAAGGCTCGCTCTCTCCCTGTCTTTGACATCCCATCTAAAATGGGCTGCCACAGAGACAGAGATTTCCAGAGCTGCTGATGACACTCAGACACCTGTTCCCTCTCTGCATTGATGAGCATTTGGTAGCCAAATCCCATGGTCTTAAAAAATCCTTAAATCCCTTCATCCACAGATCCCTTGGAAAACCAGACCAGAGATTCAACCTCTTGTTTTATGGTCTCGTAAGCACAGGTCACCGCGAGGCAGAGCTGCCCACCCAGAGAGAAAACACCCACCGTATTTTAAAAAAGCAAAATCAAATTCTCCCCCATGACCCCAAGCAGTTTAAAATCAGCTTGATTAATGGTCAACTCCACTCTTCAAATGGGTCTTGATTTTGTGTAAGAAATGCAATAGCTCAGGGATCGTGTTCAGAAATAGCACAGCTATTATCAAAGAACATTTCATCCAAAGGGACACCGTTGAGACTAGTGGCTCCCCAGTTATAAAATTCCCTCCTCTCAGAAAAAAGGGCAGCCTTTGATTAAAAATGTGTCTGTAGCATTCAAAAAATCAAATTGGTTCACACGACAAGTAGAAAAGCCTTAAAATTGAAGTCTTTGTATAAATACCATGCAGTTCAGACCCTCTGTGTCTAATGGTGTTGATGGGCTTTCATTTTAATAACTGTAAACAGCAAAACTGTGCTGCCACTGCAGACAGCATTGCTAAATGAATCACATAGTTAATTCCTAGCAAGCATACAAATACTTTCAGGTACAGAAGACAGAAAACGATTTAAAGCCAGTACACAATACAGCGTCAGAAAGGGCTACATTTGCCCTTTATAAAAAAAACATACAAATTTTTTTAAAAGGATAAAAATTAGCCTGGAACTGATTATGGAACAAAACTGTGGCTGGCACTAATGGTCCAGAGTAGGATAGTTTGGTGACATCCACACTGTTATGTAAAACAGGGGCAGGAACCACCTGGGCAGGTTCACTCATTTGGCCACACATCTTCTCCGGGTCCAGCTCATGTTGCATTGGCCTGAAGACATTTTGGTATGTTTTCATGGCCCTCAGGTATCTCAGTGTTCTTTCTTCCCCCCAGATCGTGGGAAAGAACACAAAGGCCACCCTGCACCATTGGGACAGCATTTGTCCATGAGGTACAGCTTGTGTTTCCAGGGGTGTGATGTGGAGGCACAGGGTGCAAAGCCCCTAGGATCACAGCAGGGGGGACAAAGCCGAGTGGAGGCTGTTCAGTCCTGCCCGGGGATGCTCCCTGGCACGTGTCCTTCCTCAGCTGGGTTAGCTGGCCTGAACCACAATTTTACCAGGAGTTTGTTAAGAACTAAACAGCATGCATGACTGGAGGCCAGTGCTCCAGTCCATACCCTGGCCTTGCTTTGTTAACAGATACAGATACAGCTCAGCACCGTTTGAGGAGCCGCATGCCAGCATCTTATGCAGACTTCACACTTTCTGCCCATAGCTCTGTCCTTATAGGAGATGAATTTGCTTCTGAGCACAGCAGAGCTGTGCATCTACAAGCTCTTAAAACACACGTATGGGCACAGAGCCCTCCCTGGCACTTGACCAACCAGCGGCATGTGCGAGCATGTGCCCTCAGAGGGGAAGCAGGAGGCAAAAGCGCTCACATGCAAGAGAGAAGTGCAATTCCACATAGCGATTTCGTGTTTCTCCCAAAGTCAGAGTGCCAGACAGCTAAATCAGAGCGGCACGCACGGATTCATGTGTCTGGGAGCTGAACACACACGATGTGCAATGTCTCAGTGCAAATGTGTGACTGGCATGCTTTGGTTTTAGCAGTTAGGGGACGTACACATTTATACACGTACGTGTGAACCACAGGCCTCTCTCAGAAGCAGAATATCGAAATGCCGAGAGAGCAAGACTGCCAACGCTTTCAGAGTTTGAGTCAAACCGTCAGGAGCTGGATCCGCTTGAAATGGATGGAGCTATGGTGGTCTACACACACTGAAGATCTGGCTCTTGAAATAAAATATTCTTTCAAGGAGTGGGAAGTGTGAGCTTAAATCCTCTTCTGAAAATGAGCCTTTTTCCTAAATGCAACAAAACACAATGCAGCTGGTGCTGGTCACCAGGATCAGGCCCCTCTTCTGTAATGCATGCACTTGGGGGATTTGTGGCTGTCAGTAGCAGGGGAGGCACCATGTGATCGCCATCCCAATTAGATGGGAAGTACCCATACTGAAGACTTGCATACACTACTTCAGGGAGAAGCCCAGCTACAGCAGATTCAGCTTTGAGTGTGTATCCTGGAAGCTGCCCATCTGTGGAAGGCACTTTACCCGAGAAGTGGGATACACCACTTTGGCTTCACCTCCTGTGGGCTGTGAACTTGCCACTAACCAAGCTAAGGAGAGGAAAGCCAGACCTGCACTCATCTGCAATTTCAGGCTGCAGGATACACAGGCCCTTAGTGCCATTACAGTGCTTAATGCTATGACCTTATCCTGCTAGGTCTCACTATGTGATACATGGGTGCTTTCTGCCCAGAAGACCTGTTACAACCTAGCTCGGGTATCCCTGCATTGCACTGCCATCTCTAACTGCAGCTTAACCGTAGCCCAGAGTGTTTCTTCAGTAAGAACAAGCACTGACAGAGGTTAATAGCTTTCTTAAGATGATGATGATTGAGGTAAGTTCCTGATTAAAGTAAGTTAAGCCAATTTTTCTCTTTCATCTTTAAGATAGGCAAATCACACCCTCCTGCTCTGATCCTGCAAAAGGATGCAAGAGCAAACTCCAGCTCAGTGGAGCTAAGGGTCCCTCCTCCTCCTCCTGCTCCTCCTATAGAGATGTCTTGGCCCCGGCACTCGTTAGGGCTCCCACACACAGGCAGACGCCGTGACAGCATTCATGCCCAGAAGTTACCCTTTTCTAAAGGCTTGCATGTGCAACATGATACAACACGTTATAAATCAAAAGTTAAGCTGCTCCAAGGCACACTGACATGGCTCTTTTCCCCAATTAATAAAAACAATGATGCACACAGTAGAGGGGAGAAGGAGGATGGAGCAAGCCGTGCTTGCTAGCTGTGCATTGTGGCAAGCGCTGGCCTTTCCCCAGCAACCAAAAGCTTCCCCAAACACAGAGGTAAAAGCATCAGTCTGCCCCAGTGAGACTTCTCCTTGGGTACAGCAGCCTTTGCCATTGCCACATGGGTCCTCACCTGCCCTTGGCCCTGCTCGGGAGCAGGCACAGGCCATGGCTTCTCACCGCTGCC